GGCGACGGCTTAAAATAATGAGGCAAACATTCCAAATGAAATGATAACAATGTAAGAAATTAAAGGACCTATCAAAGTACGTTGTGACAAGCAGCCTAGTTTCTTGCTGCAGTCTATCACCATGACAACCTTTCGCAGCCTGGCATTGTAACCATGTAGCTTGACCCAGTCCTCGTACTTGTCTTCTCCACAAGTGATGATTCGTTTTTTGATTTTCCAGGGTCAAGAAGTATAAATACTACTTTAAAAGAARTTCATYTTTCWCACAGCTACAATAYTCGCTCTGCATCAAATAGACATCTTTCTTTGCCCCATGTAAAATTGAATTATGGTAAATTTGGCGTGAAATATGCAAGTGCGGTAAGCTGGAACGATGTGCCTTTTGAAATAAAAGCAAGCATTTTATTATCTCAATAATACTACTTATTTTGCTTAATTCTCAAACTATGCTTATTCACACTTTTGTAATTCTCTCTTCCGCTACTTTTAACCATATTTTTTTCTGACTATAGGGTGTAACAAGCTTCTTCATTAACCCTTTGGGTTGTATTCCTGCACTCTACCACCACAATAATTTACCCTTATGTTTTTTAATGTATTATTTTACATTGTTGTAAGTGGAAATTAAAAAAGGCTTGTAAGGCTTGAAAACCAGAAAAAAAGATTTGTTGTCCAACACAATAACCAATATATTCATCCAATAAATCTTCAAAGCCCTAGATAATCCTTCCTTTCTTGATTCAAAACAGCTTAATAAAACAGAAACAGAAAAAGTCGACTTAATTTGATTTCAAGATTCTCGTGAAAAACTTTTGTAACACATTTCGAGCAGAAAAATTAAATCCTAGTTTGGGTTGTGGGAGGCACGCGAAAAACATCATCGCGTAATCGGTCTGAGTGAAGCTGTTTTGCTTTCATTGATTTTGTTGTCATTATAATTTCAAACTCTTTAGTTATGGCTTCAATGACGCTATTCTTTTCTTCAAAGATGTGTATTACATGCAAATCACTTGACACGTTTTCGTGTTATATCAGAAGTAGTGTGGTTCGGAGTTTGCCATAAGCCGGATTGGTGTCGCTAAAAAATACACAGAACACTGTGTTATAACAAATTCCAGTCCGTTCACAACGAGAATACATCAAAATCATTGATTTTCTAAAGAAATTTTAGTTAAGGATAAAGAAAATTAGTATCTTTTGAAGTCGGTTACTGCAATTAATGTTTTGTGGTTATTTACAACTTGGTCAAGTCTACACGGTGTGATGGATTTTGTAAGCCATGCATTTTGGTCAACGACTAAGTCAAGTGCGAATCTACACTCAATGGAAGAGCCGCATGAAGACGCTGAACTATTCGCTTAGGTATTGAGAAACATCTGAAGCAGCTTGATTTGTAATTCTTAAGAAAAATATAATCTATACGACCAGAAATGTAGGTTCCAATGATTAGACTGAGTAAACCTGTTATGAAACGAAATACGGCAAACGCATCATTCAGTACAACAGAGTAATGATGAAACTACGCTTCCAAAGTTGGCCTCATAAAGTAAAAATGGATACAACGTCAGCTATAAAAAGAGTTATGGCATAAGGTATTCATTGCTCGGCTGGTGAGGAAACTTCCTAATAATTTTGAATGAATGTTTATAGCTATGAATATTGTATACAGAGGCCGTTGAATGACGGACAAACACTTCAGTGAAGAAGCAGACGCTTTCAAAGATGATGAACTCGTATTTCCGACACAAGCTTGGCAAGATTATGTAACACGAAATATGAAAACACAGCGTTCGTTGACGATTCTTGAAGGTTTTATACCTGAGAAAGAAAAGCCTGAGAGCACGAACAAGAATTACAAAGGTTTATTTAAAAAATGTTTTCTTGAAGATAGTGATTATGGCGACGATAAAGAAGTAGCTTCTCGTAAAGATAGAAGAATCGCGAGAGAAAAAAATTCCAGTTCGGAAGAGAAAGTATTTTTTTCTAGAGATCATTTTGAGGAAATTTATCTAGATTTAAAGAAAAAATCTAAGAAAGATCTTCGAGTATCGTTCAAAGAGCGCGTTCAGTTGATTTCACCAGACATCAGAATAGCTCCTACAACGCAAAGATTAAAGTCTGGGGAAGATGAAACGTTTCGTTCAAAATCAAGTTTGCCATTCTTAGAAAACAATACCGATTGTTCCAAAGCAGTTTGCCTGTCCMAAAGGAAAGGAATCAGTGGAACTGCATCAGCAAAAGATAAAAGTTCAAATTTCAATGCTTATGTTGATGGTACGAGTATGTCTAGAAGTAGCAGCATTAACCTGAAAGGTTTGCAAAGATTTCTGCCTGAAGTTAGTTTGGCCCAGTGCAATGATTTTGATTCGGCAGTTATCGAGATTGTACGAGAATATAACGATCCTTGCCGAGGCGTGCACGGAGAGTATCGATTTGTACTTCTGAATGATGTTATGTAGTCTGTACGAGAATTTATCGATCTTTTACAGACGCAATGATTCTTCGATTGGGATGTTATCAAAATTGTGCGAGAATATAACGATCCTTGCTGAGGTGTGCACGGAGAGAGTATCGATTTGTACTTCTGAATGATGTTACGTAGTCTGTACGAGAATTTATCGATCTTTTACAGACGCAATGATTCTTTGATTGGGATGTTATCAAAATTGTACGAGAATATAACGATCCTTGCTGAGGTGT